GGATCTCGACAGGGTGATCATTCCAGAGGGCTGGAGCTGCAACAGAGAAGGCTCTCCCCCGGGAAGTCGCCAGCCGACATTGGCTGGCAGATGGAATCCGGAGGAGACCTAACCTGTGAGATCTAATCGGTCTGAATTGGAATTAGAATTCCACAGTTATCGTCGTCATCATCCTCCTCCTCGCAAATCCCATTCTTTCCTGGCACTGATGATGTTAAGTAGTTGGGTGATGAAACGTCTTTAAGAAAATAACCACGCTCAGAGAGCATTGTTCCCAGTCTTATTAATATTTTAATGCGCCATGACTTCCTTACAAAGCTTTCTTTACATGGGCTCATTGCAAAAAGTGTGTTTTTTTTCATTCTTGCTTGTTTTTTTTTTAACAAATTAGTTTCAATACATGCTGGTGGCTCAGCGGCTAAGAGGCTGAGCTTGTCGATCAGAAAGTTTGGCAGTTCAGTGGTTCGAATCCCTAGGGCCGCATAACGGAGTGAGCTCCCATTATTTGTCTCAGCTTCTGCCACCCTAGCAGTTCGAAAGCATGTAAAAAATATGCAAGTAGAAAAATAGGGACCACCTTTGGTGGGAAGGGAACAGCGTTCCGTGCGCCTTCGGCATCTAGTCATGCCGGCCACGTGACCATGGAGACGTCCTCGGACAGTGCTGGCTCTTCGGCTTTGAAATGGAGATGAGCACCGCCCCCTAGAGTCAGGAACGACCAGCACATATGTAGGAGGGGAACCTTTGCCTTTTATGCATATATACTTACATACATACATATGTCATACAGGTGTGTGTACACATGCATGTGTACACATGCATTACTCTACTTACAACTCTAATTGAACTTAGAATTGTAGTGATTTAGTGGGTCACCATATGACTACCTGATTTGACAAATTTTGGTGGCAGTCATTAAGTGAATGCAAGAGTCACGTAAAATGAATCACTTAATACCCAATAGGCATTTTTTTGCTGAAAAAAGTGCCAAAAATCTCATCATGTAATCACGGGAATGCGGCAGAGGGATGTAAATGTGAGCCTGTTGCCAAGCGCCTAAAATACAATCTTGTGACAATGATGCGGCTGTTCAAATTTTGGAATTGCAAGGGGTTTGGACTAGAAGATCACCCAACGTTCTTCCCGGCTCTAGTCTGATTGAAATTGAAAAGTGTGTGTGTGTGTGTGTATCCATGGTAACTTCAAACGGTTACTAACCGACCCAGTCATTTAACAACAATAAAAACCATTAAGTAGGTTTTTAAAAATTGGCAAGGGAAATAGCGCCAGCTGAAAAGCAGAAAACAACAATGTGAAGTTGTGTTGCCAGCACCGTTGCAGGTTGCAAAACAGGCACTTGCACAATCCCCTTTCTAGGATTTCATGAATGTTGCGATCTAGCAGAAATGCTTCTCCCATCGGTGTTTGTTGGCTCCTTCTAGCTTCTCTTGCTATCCCCCTCGTGAGCCTTTCAGAAAAAAGGAGAATATTTGTTGCTCTGGATTGAGATGAAGGGCCCTTGATGGCCCCTGAGCTTGGTGGTTTTCCTGCAGATGTTTCACCACCCAACTCTCTAATGTCATCAGTGTTAGGAGGTAATGGGTTTTGTGAATGGAATGGAATTGTTTATTGGCCAAGTGTGATTGGAAACTCGAGGAATTTGTCTCTGGTGCATATGTTCTCAGTGTACATAAAGAAAAATAAAATCGAATACATTCATCAAGAATCATGAAATACAACACAGTGAAAGTCATAGGTTATTAATAAGCAATCAAATTATACTAGGAAACAAATAAAACGATATAAATTGACTGGATTATTGTAATGCTCTCTACATGGGGCTGCCCTTGAAGAGTGTTAGAAGACTCCAATTAGTCCAGAATG